CCCCCCCCCCCCCCCCCCGCCGCCAAGTCTCAACCCAAACTAATCCCCCCACCTACGTCAATTGCACCTCGTAAGCATAATTGACTTTAAAGTTAAATTCAACAAAAATTAACTAGTTTTCGTCTAATAAGAAATGTTACAACATACTCTTAAATATGAAGAAAATGGTCAAATTACAAATTAAATCCATTGTCACCCAAACAATAATAATTGATACAAACATTCAAAAAACACTATCAAAGAGCTAAAGCACAATATCTAATAAGAGAACATGCAAATATATTTTGACAAATGTTAAGAACATTGGGTAGAAGAAAGAATTGATGCAGAAGCTCTAAGGCATATTTTCTTCTCTCTTTCCACTTGGACTATTCAGAGCTTACATAAGCAAACCAAGAAATATACTCCCTCCGTCCCAAAAAGATTTACACGTTTCAAAAAAATTGTGTCCCACAATCCCTTACCCATTTTTATTAAAAAACCACTTTTACTCCTTACTTTTTCAAATCCTACCTATCACATTATACTTTTTTCCTAATAATCTACACATCACATCCTACTTTTACCCATCACATCAAGAGTATTTTTGGAAAGTCAACACAAAATTATCCTTTCCTTAATTTCTACTTTAGTCAAAATAGGTAACACTTTATGGGACAGAAGGAGTAGAATATAAAAGTAATAGAAGCCAAAATACTCAATCATGGATAAGAATTTCTGCCCTTATTAGATCACTTTCAGGATCAAGATAAAAAAGTGATGTATCTCCGGTGAAGGTTATGTCAAAACAAAATACAAATTCTTAATATGTTATAAGAATAATTGTATTACACTTTTACAAATTTATCCTTTTCAAACTTTACTAACTCTCTATAATATTTACAAAACACATGAACGAACTTGTTAAGAAATCATAACAACAAATTTCTTACAAATTTAAAGGAAACTTGAATCAAAGAAAATGGAGAAATTAGAAGGGTGTAGCTAGACGCATTTGGACCTTCAAATTCTGCTGTTTCCCCTCCTTTAATTACTTTATGTGTTTAGGGTAGTCAATCATTTTCCTAACTTGTTCCAAAGTGAAGTCCAAAAATCTGGTAAACATGAAAACAACAAATACCAAAAGTATGAAAATATCATTGTAATTCCTATAAATATAAAGAAATTCAAACGAAAAGAAAAAGAAAAGTTTGCACAGGCCATTATACCGAACCACATAGCCCATATCTAAACCCGAGAATTAATACCCAACTTGTTGACCTAACCCGGAGCCCATAATCTTAGGCTGGAAAAAACATTGTTCATGTTTTCCCTTCACCTTTGTATATTAACACTATGTTTGGTTCAAGGATTTTGGCTGGGAAAAGAAAAGAAAATAGGAGGGAAATGCTTTTTTTATGTTTGGTTAGCGAGAAAAAGAAAGGAAAAGTGAAACGAAAAAAAAAGTGGAGAGAAAATGAATTAAAAAACGGGAAAATCAGTTTCCTCCCGATTTCGGACGGAAATGGAGAGAATCCCGTCTCTGAAACCTTCTCGGCAGTTTCCTCACATTCGAAAAACCAGTATAATGCTTCGGTGCTTCCTGGGCTGTTTGCTTTTGGGTTTTATTTTTTTGTCATTAACCTTTGGCAATGAAAATACTGGGTTGTTTGTAATCTACTTTTCTTTCATGGGCTATTTGAGAATAAATTTTTTTGTTTTCATAAATAACAAATAACTAGTAAATTTCAATGTTGGAAATTATAAGTCTTATGTTAGTATTTTAGAGTTAACCGATAATATTAAAAAAAATTATTAAAAATACTAAAGTTTATTTTGGGTTCAAATTTGATTCAATAAAATCTTTTGAGTTCAAATTTGAATTTATATTATTTTCTCACCAAATTTCCTTCTAACCAAACAAAAAGAGTATGAGAATACATTTTCCTCATCAATTTCCATCTTAACCAAACCTAACTAGAATTTTGAGTTTCTTTTCTTTTCTTTTCTTTTCCTTATCATTTTCCTTTCTTTCTTAATTCTTTGAACCAAACATAGTGTAAGAGATATATCTATTAAAAAATTTCTCCAATTAGCACTAAAACATTGCACTTTTCCCATCCATAGATAGGGCATTCTCTTTTTTTCTATATATATATATATATATATATATATATATATATATATATATATATATATATATATATATATATATATATATATATATATATATATATATATATATATATATATATATATATATATATATATATAT